CCATGATACAGGAGAAAGAAGGGAAAATGCGACCCATTTGGATTTGGGTCGAACTGTAAGTAACTGAAAAGAATTGTGTATGGAAAAGGTTGCCGTCCCCAGTCGGCAGTGTGGCATCCAATGGCTAGCACAGAATGGTAATTAAACTTAGACAATAGATTGTTAAGAAAAAACTGAGACAATAGACGGGTATTTCCTATGCATCTTTGCAACACACGTAGCTAGAATGTATGCGAACATGACCAAAGACGTTCGAACTACCTAACCAAGTGACGGTCGATCGCTAGACGGCAATCGCATTTAACGAACGACTAATCACTCATGGATGCAGGCAAGATGTAAACAGTGCAGTAGCTTTGGCGATGCTCTCACCATCTACGTCGGGGGCAGCTCGGGCTGCCGCGAAGGCGAGCAGTAGCACCGCGGCGCAGCGCGCGCCGCCGACCACCATCGATTCGATCGATCTCCTCCTGGCGATCGATCCGCTGATCGAAATACCGGTGCACGATCTACTGGGTGAACAGGTGAAGTGAAGTGAAGTGAAGGTGGTTTGTTCCAATTTTATAGGAAGACGACGGATCGCAGGTGTGCGGTGTCCGTGGCAGCAGGGTCCAGGGTGGTGACTTCGCGGAAGGCGCCGGTCGGTGGAGCTCAACTGGCCGTCGTCAGTCCGGCAGCCTGGCTGCCTCCCCCTCGGCCCGCCGCCGCGTGCGTGCGGTCACGTGCTGTGCTGCTGTGTGCGCCTGCACCGCCGTTGCGATTCCCGTGCATTCCCTCGATCGCCCACGGGCACGGCTGAGGATGGAGGACGGCGGCACACGCCTACGCGCGCTTTGACTCTCTTCCATGGCCACATGGCCGTGTTTCCTCCGTGCCTTGCGGAATGCCCGATGGCCCATCAATGCGACAGTACGCCGTGTGTTCCTCGCGACACCGTGCCACTGCCGGAGTGCCGTCCGGTTTCCTCCGTGCCTTGCGGAAACGCAGGCGTGCGTAGGCGAGGCGGGCAGCGCCGTCCGGCGTCCGAAGTCCACTGCGCCCATGGCCACGGGGGAAAGGTTTCCGCGTCAACAAATTTGTCACTGCAATAAGTCATGGACTGGGCCACTGGGGGCGCTTGGGCAGCAGGCCAGGAGGTCGCTCTTAGCTGGGCCACGAGCCGAGTACGCATGCCGGGCCGTCTGAACGGGCTCACGGGCTCATGGCTGTTGTTGTTTTTTAAACATGGTCTGACGGTTGTTGGAATGAAGGCCGAGCGATGCATTTCCGGTGTTTTTTTTTCCAAAATACATTTCCGGTGTTAACCTGGCTAGCTTGAGCGTCAACCTAGGTTCTTCAAAAGAATAAAGGAAACTTTATCGTCAACCTGCTCTCCAAGCATCCTTGGTACGTACGCAGTGTACATGGGAAATGCTCAGCTACCACTCCATGCTCGTAAGCTGGCTTAGCTGAGCTAGCTCGTACTAGTGTTTGGGCGCTATAGTTTGGGTTTTGTACTCTAATGGGCACTGACAGCACGGCCATTATCAGCTCCTGCTTTTTCATGCCGTATATGATTATAAGTTGAATGACGGATAGCACCGAACTGTCTCGCTCGGAACCCTTTTCAGCTGGTGAGATGTATCCATGAGAGGAGAGAGTGTCGGCCGGATCCGATCCAACAAGAACCAGGCGATGCCGTCTCTTTTAACTTGTACGACGAGGATGATCATAATGTCGTCGGCGATGATGACATCGGCTGTGAAGAGAACAATCTGCTCGCTGCCAGATGGTAATAGTGCACCGGAATGGACACTGTTCGTGATGTAGAAAACTGTGAACTATTCTTGCGCCAAAGACTATTAAACATTGGTCCACTAACCATGGTTGAACTTCTGATTATGTTGAACAGAGCATGGTCGCGTCGAACCAAACATCCCTACAGATTCTAAGGGCATATCCAAGGGGCCTTCGTCAAACGGACGCCTCCAAATATTCCAAAGCATCAAGAATCATAAGTAGCACAATGCATCAATAATCCAAAGAGAAATGTTTTAATGCAAAAATATTCCACAACCCAATCGTAATACAGTTTTGAAATAAATTGGCTCAAATTTAAATTCAACACATTCTTACATATGCTATTATTGTTCATATGAACCGCCCACAAGTGCTACACCAGATTATTTTGAAGTTGTGTATGGGTTTCTCAATTGCGAATCTGAGAAGAGCATCTACAACCAGAATTATCAATTACGGGTCCCTATACGTCCGCGGACTCGTCCAGACACACCCGTGGACAGTGACCGGACGACTCTCAAATAATGCGTTTTGCAACCATAATCCCTATTTCAAAAATATCAAATACACGCAAACACATGCACGCCGATGATCTTGGCCAAATATTATTCAATGCACATAAATACAAATTGTGTGTACTTAAGAATACATAGTTCAAACATAAATATTGTTCATAGTGCATAATTGATAAACTAAAAGCAAAGTTTACTGATTTCCAGTGTGGACCCGCATATGCTCCACAAGATCATTCAACATGCACATGTTGATCTCGCAATTGTCGATGCTTTTCCAAAAAGTTTGCAATACTCTCTGCCCCTTGTTCCAGGAGGCGAACATGAGTTCTGGGCTTCTCAATATCATGTGTGCGTGCTGGCCCTTCATCCTCATCCTCGACAATCATGTTGTGCAAGATTACAAAACATGTCATGAGCCGCCAAAGTGTCTCCACTTCGCACATTATCGCAACTCCACAAATCCGACGAGGCGATGAACTCGTTGAATAAGAATTCATCAAGGTCAGAGTTCTCATAGCCATTATTCCATGATGAATCCATTGAATGACCTAGAAATGATGACCGAAAGAATCAAAATCTAGCTCTGTCACTTCACCGAACACGTAGAGCGCGAGGTGTATATATGGGAGAATTGAACGTATCGATATGACGTTCGGTGGTGGAGAACCACGGTCAGCGGCGGTGTGGATTGCGGCTTCCGGTGGCTAAGCCCTAGGTTGGGGATGACAGCGGAGCAACGATGCCGGCGGAACTCTGGTGACGACTCTGTGGATGAGGGCCAACAATAGAGAGGAGGAGAGGACTGGTCAGGCAAGGAGGGGGGGGGGGGAGAATATGACTGAATTGGCGCGGGCCTTAGTGGTCAGTCCGACGTGGCATGCGATATGGGAAGTGTCGGTCAGACTGGGTGTTTGGACCGGATACGAAGCATCCATTTGGATGACGTTTTTTCATCCGGACACTGACCAGGCAGTCTGCCCGGGCGTTTAGGGCGGATATGGGGTCTGTTTGTAGATCCTCTAATGCATTTGGATAAATTATTCAAACGTTGCCGCATTAGGGCATCTCCAATGGCGACCCACAAATTTCCTCCTCATTTCAAGCCGGGTTTTGAATTAGCGGACATGCAAACCGGCTGATATTCATCAAAGTTCGGAAACAAAATAGCACAAATAATCTATACATAGCATGCAAATATGTCCAGTGTGTCAAATTCGATGTCCAACAAGTTTTTTAATGGATCATGTCGTCCCACACATACTACCCTTCAGTTTCACCCAATAGTGTGTGTACGTAAATGGCGGCCGCTTTATCCTGTGGTACATCACGGCAACACGTAAGGGCTACACAATGTGTAGAGTAACATTGAGTGAATGAATGATTCGGTTAACAAGTTGAGGAAGAAGAAGCAAAACTTATGATCTCCTCCTCTGCCGCATGCAATGGCCATCTTGCCTCCAGCTAAGCAATTACGTGACAAAATTTGCTGACGATGGTCTGGATGGCGTGCCATCGATATGATGATGACCTCACATTGCGATCATGGATGATGTGCATGTCATAGGGCGCAATGTGCTTTCGTGCGTGAAATGATTCATGCACTTGCTGCTAGAATGTACCCCCTTTGCTCCTGCCTACAAAATCCGCGGATAAAGTCAACCACGCATCGCACAACAACTCATCCTCCATGGTTGAGTACCCTGCCATCCTTCCTACTCTGAAAAAACGACATGGCCTCCGAAAATAAGCTCATGGGCATTTGACCGAACACCTGCCAGGCGTAGTGGCCTCCATGGAGGTCGTTGACACGGCGGTAGAGCGTACCTGGGCAAACGGCTGTCAATGCTCGTTGCGAACGTTCGGCAATGCATGTGTGGCGGCCAGAGATACAGTGGCGGCAACAGAGGTGGAGGTTGCAGATGCAAAGCAAGGGGGTAAAGTAGAGGAGTGAAAGAAAATGAGATCGGGATGGCGGATTTAATGGACCTGGTGTGTCGGGTTCCAACATGGCTGATGTCCGGACTCGGTCCCGCAACCATCCCCCCTTGTCTCTAATTTGCGAGAGAAAGTGCGTCTGGACCGCCGAGCGGAGATACATGCCCGCGTAGTATGATTTCCGATGTCCGGACAACATAGTGCGAATGTATGCAGGCGGTTTGTGGGTCGGCGTTGGAGATGCCCTTACGCTATGGAAGCTGGACAAGATCACTCGTATGTTCAAGTTCAACACCCAGAACTTTGTTATTTGCTAGAGATGCTCTAAACACACTCATCCCTTTGTTCAGATAAACAAATAGAAAAGACAAGAGAAAAGATGCGGAAAAAGACAACTTCATGCACGTGTGCATGCGTACTCTTTCGTAGTGATGTGTGTGATCGAGTGAATTTCTTTTTCTTTAGTTGGAGATCGAGTGAAGTTGATGAAGAGTCAAGTTGGGAGAAGAAGTCAAACTGTCAGACCCAAAATCAGCCTAAAGAATAACATACAAGTGGCACCATGAAGCAGCACAGTTCATGCATGCCTACTAAAAAGCCCAAAAGGACCAAAATATCCGAGCACTTTTCCCTGTTTTCTGTATTTTATATTTGAACCAGAACCCTTTAAATACAAATGTGACCAAATGCAACTCAGGCAGCAAGCAACTAGCAAGCAGAGTAGAGCAGAGCAGCAATAGCAGACACAGAGAGAAAGTAGAAAGGCAGGGATGGGTCAGTGCCCCTCTATCCGGCAGCCGGAGGCAGAGTATGTTCGCCTGCTGGCGGCGGCACCCGGCGGCAAAAACAGGTGATTTCTTGAACAATTTATTTCATATGTTCGCTAGCAGCTGCTGCCGGTGTTCAAAGTGTGTGCCAGAACTGCTCGTTTCTTCTTATTCAGTTAGAGTTTAGTAGGTGTGATTACTTGTAGTCCCGAAACTGTTGTGACATTTTTGTGTCTCCAACATGCAGGAACGAGCAGTTCAGCAAACCTACAAAGGCCATGAACAAATACCAAAAAAGATCAAGCAAGGACGATCTAGTTATGAGGGCGACGCTCGAATCAATCACGAGAATTGGATAAAACTGCAAATCTGATGAAAGAAGAGCGATGCCAGATGTCAGAGTTTCGACCTGGATATTATAGGCATCAATTGTGAATCTTGATGCCGGTAAAAATACGGTGAAATCTAGGATGGCTTTCGAATTACCAAGCTTTGGTTTATAGAGGACTTAAAAGTAACTGTGTGTACAACTCTACTAGATTTTTTTAGGGGTACAAGTCTACTAGCTAGCACTACGCACGATTCCGGAAATTTGCTTCGCTATGTTTTGTAAATATTAGTAATAATAGTATAAAAGGTCATTGGCAATTAATTCTAGCCCATCCGACAACGCATGGACTGGTGGTAGATTGTGAATAAGGGTGAAAGTGGTTAGGATAAGTTTTGACTGAAACCGCTTTCGAATCTGTTTTTATAGGATACGGTAGGAGATTTTTACATCCGCACACAATCCGTTTCGACTCCGAGTTCGGCTGATACGATATGGTATAAGATATGATACTAGTATGATATGACGCCATAGGATAATCTATTTTAATAGGATAATCCGACCTTCTAAATATGGATATATGATTTATGGATGAAGTTTCAGGTATTAACTAGCAATACATTTTAAAAGCATGTCTCTCAAGTTTGACATCATGTTGGAGGTCAGGAACACGATATTCACGAGTATTATCATCTCTTTTTCTATCACCTTCATTTACTCCCCTCGAGTAAGCAACATGTCCGCAGTCAAATTGATGTCAAATAGAAGAGCACTCCGTACCGCTTTCTCTTGGCATTGGGTTACAAATGCTCAATTGGCGGAAATATTGCATGGGTGGAGCATCAATATGGTTGACGCTATAATGAAGCTGACCATCGTTGTTGATGAAGGAAAAAAATCACACCATTCAATGAGGGGCTTGAAGTCGACATTCATAAGTCAAAACTTAATCATGTTTCTTTTTTTTTACTTTGGGGTGATGTCCATTGGTGTGTGTCAACATGATCAAGAACTCAAGTGTCAACTGGCGATAAGTATATGCATCCTACTTATGAAAGTGATACATACATGCTGACATTGTTACATAAATAACTGAAATTGTTGCCTACGCCGAGAGTTTTCATAGTGGTAGGACATGCCCACTTGGTTGACCTAACTTTGAGGGAACGAATTTCTTTGAAATTTTCTTTAAATCACCATCAAGGTTTATGTTGAGGAAGGCAACTCACTTATGTTGTTCACGAGCATGATTGAGCCATGCACTATCTCTGGTTTTATTATGTGTAGTAGGTAATCCATGTGTAGTAGCACAAACATAAGTAGTGTGCCCTCTTGTCTCCATACCTAATATAAATCAAACTAAACCTCCGATGCAATAACACTGATAAAAATGACTCCTATAATAGTAGGAAGCAAAACTCCTCAAAAAACATGCATGGAAACATGTTCAACAATTAACTTGTTCCTGAAACTAGTTTGAACCCTAAAACATCATTGCTAAGCAAATGAGCACAAGATCGGGGGGAATAAATGGTGGGACGGAGGAGATTACCTTGAAACCTTGGTGTGCGAGGAAACAAGCTGAAATCAACCATGGTTCTTTGTAGTTTGGAGGAGAAGAGAGAGAGAGAGAGAGAGAGCTTGAAAATTTTGGATTTAGGATTACTTCAATAGCAGCATGTTTAAGGTTTCTGCCTAATGGTACTCATACTAGTGCTTGGCTAAATTTTAGACCCACTGATCCTCTTGTCTTGATTTCGTACGAGTGTTGGTACAAGCACACCCGCTCATACCATGATGCTTACTTCAGCTCATATTAGGATGTATGGTAGTCCCCCCCCTCACCAAGTGCGGGAGTTGTAGCAAGTAGCGAGTCCCCCCAATGAGAACCAAGGTAACAATCGTGAAGGTATTGTTTTCTACACCAATGATAAGTTGTGCAACACTAATAAAATTTCACTTGTGCCCCAAGAACTCTAGCAAGGGGGGCAACCTTACTAGCTTTGCTACTTGTATTGTATGTTTGGAATAAATAAGAACTAGAAAAAAACTTATGCTAAAGCCTGGACCGGGGTTCATAATTTCACCAATAGCAACTCTCTAAAAGTGTGACAAAGAGACATCTATTGAAATATTATGTGCTTATGATATATTCTGTAAGATGTGTTGATAGTATATAGGTAGTGTTGGGGAACGCAGTAATTTCAAAAAATTTACCTACGCACACGCAAGATCATGGTGATGCATAGCAACGAGAGGGGAGAGTGTTGTCTACGTACCCTCGTAGACCGTAAGCGGAAGCGTTATGACAACACGGTTGATGTAGTCATACGTCTTCACGATCGACCGATCCTAGTACCGAAAGTATGGCACCTCCGCAATCTGCACATGTTCGGCTCGGTGACGTCCCACGAACTCTCGATCCAGCAGAGTGTCGAGGAAGAGCTTCACCAGCACGACGGCATGATGACAGTGATGATAATACTACCGGAACAGGACTTTGCCTAAGCACCGTTACGATATGACCAAGGTGGATTATGGTGGAGGGGGGCACCGCACATGGCTGGAAACAATCAACTTGTGTGTCTATGGGGTGCCCCTTGGCCACGTATATAAAGAATGGAGGGAGGAGGAGGCCGGCCCTCATAGGGCGCGCCCAAAGTGTGGAGTCCTACTAGGACTCCCTACACTACAAAAAAGACACATCCGTGACATGTTGGGCCGAACGAAAAAAAATTCTGTCATACTTATGACACTTCTATGACGATAATTGTGACAAAACCCGGTATCATCATAGATGTGGTGGGCTCCTACTTCTATGACAAAAAATCATAACAGAAAATGGGCTTTTCGTCCTGGGCGGGCCGAAGACGCAGCTGCATGACATTCTTTGGGCCGTCCATGACGGAAAAAACCGTGGTAGAAGCGAGGGCGAGGAAAATATCAGGGTGTTCCCGGTTACGGTGGGTGGTCGGGGCCGAGCGATGCACGAATGTTTGCGCGTTTCTCTCGTACACGCGCGCATGTGGGTGCGAGGCATTGGGCTCTAACTGAACCCGAGCGAGGCGTTCGCCTACTGAACCCGAGCGATTGCACTGCAGGCTACGCGTTACTGAACCTGAGCGATCGATCGATGGCTGTTAACTGAACCCGATCGAGCGATTCCTTCACTACTGCTGCTAACTGAAGCCGGTCGATGCCGCCTCTGGATGAACAATGAGTGTTGCTGGGGGGTTTGGATGAACAGTTCCCGGTGGAGGTGGATGAACAGGACCCGTTGGTGTTGCCTCTGGATGAACATGACCCCGATCGATCGAGCTGGTTGGGGCTGGATGGACAGGACCCCGTGGAGGGCTGGATGAACAGGATGACCCCATGGAGGGCTGGATGAACAGTAGACGGTGGAGGGCTGGATGAACAGTAGCCCGTGGAGGGGTGGTTGAACAGGAGCCCGTGGAGAGAGCTGGTTGAACAGTAGCCGGTGGAGTAGCGCGAGGTGGAGGCTGGATGAACAGGAGCCCGTGGATGAACAGTCGCAGGCGGAGGCTGGAGGAGGACGACGGTGGATGAACAGTAGCCCGTGGAGGCTGGAGGGGGTCGACAATGGAGATGAACAGTATCCCGTGGAGTCCCGTTTTGCGGTACGCCACACCCCTCCCGATGAACAGGACCCCCGTTTAGACCGTAGCGCTCCAACACAAGTTCGTTTCCTCCGTTTTGAGGTACGCCACACCCCTCCCGATCAACAGGACCCCGTTTCAAACGTAGAGGTTCGTTTCCTCCGTTTTGCGGTACGCCAGACCCCTCCCGATGAACAGGATCCTATTTTGAACGCGGCTGGTCGAACACAAGGCCGTTTCCTCCGTTCTGCGGTACATCAGGCCTTGTTTCCATCGGCTATTCCGTCCAAGCCCTCTCGATGAACACGATGACGCATTCCATTCCGACACAGCCGGTTGGCTCCCCATGAACACGACGACGACGCAGTTTCTCCATTCCGACCCGGCCATGTACACGAGCCCTGGCCGTACGTATGCGCGAGTAGGCGTTCGAGACCCCGCCCGTATGTACGTACGTGGCCGTGTTTTCTTTCTTGCACAATGGCCGCTGTACGTACGTGTACATGCTACGTGCGCGCCTTTACCACGACACGTGCGCGCCTCTATATCGACCAGTATGTACATACACGTTCGCGACCAAAATGACAACGCTACGTACAGTTTGACCAGGTGGGTCCCGACTGTCAGGCACTTCCTTGCGTGCGAAGATGTAGCTGGTGGGTCCTAGCAGTTAGGGGGCAAATCGTTTTTTTCCTGGATGCACTTCCTTGCGTCCGAAGATGTAGCTGGTGGGTCCCAGCAGTCAGGGGAAACGTTTTTTCACGAAATACGGTGGCCCGTCCAGTGGGTCCCTGCTGTCAGGTGAAGGAATAATTATTCTGCACGTATTCCTTGCTGTGGTCGTGGACCCAGCTGTTAGCCTCTCCACGTACAGTCCACGTCCGATGGAAGCCGCTCCTTGACCACGTTGACCATGCTGCGCCGAGAGCACCAGGGCGGTAGACGACAGCGAGGCCTAGGAAGGGGGCGATGCGGAGCCGGGGAAGACGCGGCAGTGGATGCCCACGCGTAGAGGAGTATGAGGGTTCACTGGTTCACTGCGGTGGTCGCCGCAGAATAACATGGGGTGTGGGTGAGTAGAGGGATGGCCTGGCCAACGGTGGGAGTAGTAGGGGCGGTGAGGCCTCGGCCGCATCGCAGCCGACCACGAGAGGCAGGAGCACGAGGCACGACCGGCGCTGGTTTGGGCGGCTGGAGCAAGAAGACCAGAGGTTGAAGAAGCACTACGACTGTTGGATGGACATCGTACGGTCACTGGAGCTAGAATCGTGCATATTGACTAAGTTGACAAAGCCCTCCGTCCCCGTCGACTTAGTAGGCCCACAAGTCATCCTGCCACTATAGTGGGTCCCAGCTAGCAAGGGGAGTATTCATTTTTTTGTGCGTAATAAGGAGGCACTTCCTTGCGTGC